AGAGAGAGAGAGAGAGAGAGAGAGAGAGAGAGAGAGAGAGAGAGAGAGAGAGAGAGAGAGAGAGAGAGAGAGAGAGAGAGAGAGAGAGAGTGAGAGAGAGAGAGAGAGAGAGAGAGAGAGAGAGAGAGATATGATATATATATATATATATATATATATATATATATATATATATAGTAAAACCTCAATAAATTAATACTCGATAAATTAATAACCTCGATTAAATTATATGTTTTCTCGGTCCCGACTCGAAGGCAACGTGTTAAAAAATATTTCGTTAAAATTAATATTTCGCTGAATTAATAGAATTTGGCTGGACCCGACTGTATTAATTTATAAAGGTTTAACTGTATGAATATATATACTTACGCTGCCCAATGAATTCCGTGACTAGCAAAAGCAGAGGAAATCGGAGTGTCTGGATCCATTGCATAATACGGTACTAAACCAACAATAACTGCGGAAACCAACATATATAAAGTGCAGCAAATCGACAGTGCAAAACCGATTCCCATCGGCAAATCTCGCTGAGGGTTTTTCACCTGCACATGAAAGAAAATCATTCCTTATTAACTTTTCAAGAAAATTGTTTTATAAAAAAAAAAAAAAACTGGGTAAATTACGGCTACCCCTGAGGTAAGGTCAAATTGTGAAGAAACCCCTCATGTTTGAATAATTACAATCACCCCCTCAACTATGAGTCTTCTTACACGTCCACCATTGCGGTGGGTGTCAAATTTAGTGAAATCTTCTAGTTATATAGAATATTCTCCAGTTTGTACCCGTTTTATCCCATTCGAGATCTACATTTTGAAACAAGATCATAAAATGTGTCTCTTGACTTGTAAACATCAGATCGTGGTGCATCATAGAATTTGACACCATAAGGGTGGGTGTACGTGTAAGAAGATTCATAGTTGAGGGGAGTGGTTGTAACTACCCAAATATGAGGGGGGTTTTCGTAATTTGACCTTACTTCAGGGATGACCATAATTTACCCAAAAAAATAATAATTAATAAAATAAAAAAATAAAAAATATCTGCAAGATAACACAGCACACCTCTTCAGCTGTACTAGCAACCGAATCGAATCCTATGAATGCAAAGAAAACAGTTGAAGCGCCAGCTAGCATCCCATCGGCTCCAAACGGAAGATATCTATAAAAATAATAAAATTTACACAAACTCCCACAAAAAAAAAAATTAAAAAAAAAAAAAGATTGAATACCCGGAGGAAAGTTTGTAACCAGGCCATCCGGTTTTGAAGCCTAAGTATCCACCAGCTACAATGACGAAGACCATGGCGCAAATATTTGCTACAGTGACGACTCCTTGCACAAACGTGCTCTGAAGAAATATCAAATTACGAGTTACAAATTTTCGGAGGAGGGTAATTTTTTTTTTGAATTAAAAAATTAGGCGACGAGATTAAAAAGGAGACCTCTTTGATTCCCACACAGAGAAGCGCAGTGACCAAGAATACTAAAATGGCGGCACACGGGTCAACCACGCATCCAAGTCCGGGGATGGTTTGTCGAGCTAGAAACCATGGCAGACTATTCGGACCTCCGAAAAGCATAGCCTGACGAAAGAAACGGAGAAAAAAACACAATTCGAAACCAAGTCAATACCAAATACTAATCAAGAAACTGCAAAAAAAAAAAAAAAAAAATCGGAGGAACCGGAAGCGCACCAGATTAGGAGATATGCCGCGAGCGACAGCCGAACCTCCGATAGTGTACTCCAATATCAGCGCCCAACCGATCAGCCAAGCAACACTGCACGAAGCAAAATGTGTTAACATACAAAAAGAAATTCGGAAAAATTCAATACTTCGGGGAAAAAAAAAAGTACCCTTCTCCGACGCATATGTAGGAATAGTGATAGGCACTTCCAGCAGAAGGGCAACGACTAGCGAGCTCGGCATAGCAGAAAGCAGAAAGAGCAGCTGCTATTCCAGCTATCAGAAATGAGAATGTAAGTGCGGGCCCCGAATGCTCTCTTGCAACTGTACCGACAAGAATGTATACTCCAGCACCAATCGTCGAACCAACTCCTACAAGATTTTTCAAACAAAATCCAAGAAACCATCGATTAAGGCCTCGTTTGGTTGCCGGGATAAGATTAAATAATCTAATGAAAACCCAGTTGTTTTATTCGACACCCAAAAAAGTAAGCTCCTTAAAAGGGTTGACCTGGGAAGTAATTGGGTTTACCCAAGCATCAAACGAAGTACAATTATTTAGTTAATCATGGCTAATCTACCCATCCAAACGAGGCCTAAGGTAAATAGTATCAATCTTTCCATCCTATGTCAATGCATTTGCAGCAACAAATGCACACATACCAAACTCATATTTAAAACTTCACTTAATCCATAAACACACAGACTACCCCAGATTCCGAGCCGAATGCGTAAAACAAGTAAAGTCGAAAATCGCAAAACACAAATTCAAGAATCCATGAAAACAATAAAGATCAAGAAGCAATGAAATTCAGACACAAGTGTTTGACCATGGTCTTACCTATGGCAATGAGATGGGGAATAGTCAACGCCCTAGCCAAACCATGATGACCACCTTCAGTTGAATTTGTATGAGCAGAATCAACCTGTTTTCTCCTCACAAGTGTCTTCAAACCCCCAACACCACACTTCCCTCCATTATTATTCTCTGCATCACCAACAACCCCCATAACCCCCCACAATTTATTTGATATTTCAATTGGGTCCCCAAAGATTCAATCTTTCTTGCCAAATATGGATACTTTCAACAAATTTTCCGTGAGAAAATAAAAATCAGAATTCCATATGGGCGAAAAGAGGAATCTTGAAGCGGAATCAATCGAGCAGCCCCCTTTCTGCAAAATCCCAAAGACGGATTAAAGACTTTTTTGGGAATTTTTGTTTTTTGGGGGCTGCGGAGTTTGAGGGGAGCTGTTGCAGCTGCAAGATTACAGAGAGAGAAAGAGGAGAGAGAGAGAGAGAATGGAGGAATGAATGTTGATAGAGTATGTGTGTATGTATCTATTTGATGGGGTTTGCCCAATAATAAACAAGCAAAAAAAAGATGATCAATGGTGGTGCAAGAGAGTTGTGGGATTCTTGAATCTTCATTTAATATCTCACCGCAATTTGACTGCTGACACACACTCATTTTTCTTTTTTTATTATTTCTTTTTACCATTTGGATCCCCTTTTATTTTTATTTATTTATTATTATTATTAGGGTAAATATGTATAAACTCTATGCTAAAATAAATTTTAGGTCTTTGTGGTATTGGTAATTAAAATCACACCCATGAAACAATGATCGGAGTTAAGATTTAATATTCTGGGGATAGATATGCACTATATTTATTTCCTGCGGGACTGTTAATGATATCATCGACATTTTGATTTAAGAAATGTTAGGAGAGTCATGTCACACCCTAACTCTATGTTATCTCCACCATTGGCGGAAACTAACAGTATGTTTAGAACCACAGCGGAATAACTTATCCAATGCATTGTTCCGTTAGGGTTTTTAACAATATTTCAGGGGTGATTGTAATTACTGATATTACAGGGACCTTAAAGTTATTTTAACACATCTTCGGGGTGTAGGTTTAATTTACCCTAATGTTTTTTTTTTTTTTTAATTTCTTAGTAAAGAAGACGTGTGCGTTTCTTAGGATTAAAGTTGAGTGCTGCATAATTCTCATTATTAGTTTTTCTTTAAAAAAAAAAAAGAATTGTTATTAGTTAATATAAAATTGAATTTTAGGAACACACGCATTGGCAACTCACAATAACCCTACGTGAAATCTGGACAACCAGTTCACAATTAGTCACTTCCCTTTTCTTAATAACCCGATAATTAATGTTTATTTTTTACTAAAGTATATAGAAGTCTGTTTAAATATTTAGATAAATTTTGAACTGAATTTGACTTTTTTACTCTGAAATTTGTTTGTGTGTGTATATGTGTGCTGTTTGTGTCACACAAGCAATCCAAAGTAAGGATATTTTGGGGGCCCATCAAGAATTCAAGATCCTACACATTGCCCATTCCAAACACACATAATCATTTAAGGACAATCCAGCTTGCATCATCCATATTATTATTATTATTATTTGAGTGGGCCTGAAAGGGTGATCTAGCAGTTGGAGCAAGTGAACATGCGTCAACTGACTCAGGTTCGAATCATTTTGCCAATGGTCGCAAAATCGAGCTTGTTACGCATTGTTAACTTAGTGTGGTTTACGTCTCTCGTATGGTTTGCAAGCCAAATAAGCTTGAGTCAATTGACGCAAGTTCGAACCCCCTTAACAACGGTCGCTAGTTTGGAGATTGTCATACATGGTTGATTTAGTGTTATTAACATCTTTCGAATAGTTTGCAAACTATTACACGAGTGTAAGTTTAATTTAATTAGTGCAACTATATAATTGGCGGCAAGTTTCTAAATTAAAAAAAAATATATATAAATTTACTTAATGCACTTATATGATTGACTGCAGGTTTCTTGTATATTTGAGCATGCAAGGGCGGATCTTTTAAAAGGGGGGGGGGGGGGGGGGGGACTTTTGGCCCCCCAAGATTAAAAAAATTTTTTTTAGGTTTTTTGGCATTTTAATTTTTGAATATTACTTTTGACCCCCTAAAGTTTTTGTAAATATGTATCTTAACCCTTAATTTTTTTGTTTCTTCTCCACAATGTTATATAAATTATACTTTTATACATCATATCTAATATAAAATATTTAATAAAATGGTTAAATTTGTATTATTTTATATAATATCTATGAATATTTACTTATTTTGGAATTCTTTGATCGGTGTCTCTTAAAAATAATATGAGACGATGCCATTAATATCCAAAATATTTAAGTGCAATACATTATGATTTTTTTGTGATGCTTAAAATATGATAAAACTATAATATATATGCTATTTTAATTAAAAAATTATCAATATAAACTTATTTTTGCTATATCTTGTGAGCCTAAAATTTTTTTCGGGCCGTTACCCGAACCCCGAAATTTTAGTTAGCCCCCTATATTTTTGATCCTGGTTCCGCCCCGTGAGCATGAACCATGGTGAAACTTCATACATTTTTTTTTTAGTTGTGTAGTAGTACAAGTTGATAAGCCTATTAATTGAGACCCACATTATTTGAACGTGGAGGGGGTCCAACCAATATTGTCCAATATTGATTTATTTGATTATTTGTACATTTTATATTCGAATTTTTAATAAGTAATAATCAGACTTTGGAGAATAGGAAAGTTGTGGTTTTCACTTTTCACACATTTGTTTCTTTGTCAGAAAATAACAGCACTGTTTTTTATTATTATGACAAGTATTATATTATATAAATATATAGGACTATTCTATTTATGGTAAGATCATGTGCCAGACTGAAAAACACGGCTACCTAATGTTCTTTCCCAATATCCACTTCTTATTCATTAATTAATTAGTTAATTAATTAAAATCTAGGTGCCCCGCCCCCCAATGAAACATATAGGTATATAAGTAGATTTGAGTTTGAGCTTGCTTTGTTAAGAAAATATTGAAATTCATAAAAATAAAAATAAAAATAATAAAAAAAGAAGAAGAAGAAGGTAGGTAGCTATTGAAGTTGAATTCATGTTCAATTTGATAGAATCACGTTCAAACTCATATTTGATTTATCAATGAAACAAAACATTCAAACATAATTTTTGAAACTTGATTAAAAATTAAAATTCAAATAAATATATACTATTATTAGCGGAAACGGAATTATAAGTTTCGGAAGATGGATATTAGTGCTATTAATAATACAAAGATTTATTTATTTATTTTATATTTCTATATAAAATAATAATGATTTGAGAAATGTTAGGGGGTCATGCCCCCCTATGACCTTCTACTGGTTCCGTCGTTGTATAATAATTAAAGTCGTTTTTACCCTCAATGAGGATAGATAAACAAAAGTCAAGCACAGTATAGTGTGCACGTCTCTAATACTGAAAAAGGGATTCAAGATTCAACTATTTAACGAACCTTGACATATATAATAATATGGTAGGCTGTATTTTAGTGAGAAAATGGGCAAGTTGAATATATAATATTAAATATTAATATATATATATATTGCATATAGAACCTTTGTGCATTACTGTTGAAATTATTTTTATAAGTACATTTGTTTTACCTGTTTTTTTATTAAGAAAAGAAATACTGGTTTACTGCTGGGGATTTTTTTTCTCTTTTTTTTTTGGTAAATAAATAAATAAAAACATAGAGATAACCAAGAAAGTAATACTGTTTCATTCGAATGTTTCGGTATTTCAAAAATAGACCGTATTTTGCTGGTATGTACAATTACGTATATCGTACATGGATTTTTAAGGGTAATCCAATCAGGTTACAACCCATAATCGCCGTAAGGAAACAAAGATAGCTATTTTTCACCTTATTCATAATGTAATAAAAAAAAAATTATAACGAAGTTACAAGACCGATACCAAACTCTTCGGCTAACTCATCCCACACCGGAAGAAGAGTCATCACTACAAGTACAAGTGCCGACACAAAAATCGCTTTACGCCAAATTCCGACCTCTGTTACATCGTTCAAGCATGGTTTCTCTGGATCCCTCTGCATTTTTTTTTTGGTTTTATTGCATTATAATTATTTTGTTTTTATTGAATATGTAGCAATATAGTTTGTTATACTAATGAGTTTTCGACTTTTCGGTTACCTGACATATCAGCACGTACAAACCCCAGGGAAGTGACAAAGGTCCACCTAGCTGACAAGGATAAAAGTAGATGTTATATTAGTGGTGGAAATTGTATCTCAATAATAAAAAAAATTAAAAAAAAAAAAAAAAATCGAAAGCGTACCAATCCTAAACCAAGCAATGTGTATGTTGCCAAACCAGAAGCAATTAGTGCACCTTTTCCGAAAGCCCCCTGACAAACAAGGAATTATCAAGAACTGGCACAAAATGGATCAAAAAAAAAAAAGCCCATTTTTACCCTTCAATGGTGCATAAAAACAGTGCATAGTTTGATTCAAAGTGTTTTCAATTATGTGTGAACAGTCAAGTTAACGACTACGTATATAATTAGAAGCAATTCAATCAATTTCGACAGTCATAGGCTTTGACCATTCAGGAACAGCTGATCTTTGAGAAATTAGAAATTAGTTTAATAAAGGACTGGTATAGTTGTCTCGGAAGTGAGTCGACAAGAGGTATATATATATATATATATATATATATATATATATATATATATATATATATATATATATATATAAATAAAGCCCCGTAGAAAATTATATTCAAACATTGTCACATTCAAGAAACTAGCATATGACATTTCTAGTGATTATATCAGTGCACAAGCTGATCCCAGAACCCGGATACGCATTATTTAATAACCAAAATCAATTTCTTTAATTTCATCAAAGTAATGTGTTTGTATAAATCTCTAGAAATGCAGCTAACCTGCATGGCCCTTCCACCATCAAGACATCCAATAGGTAGCAGATTAAAAGCTGATGTTGTTAACCCACACCTATAAACAGAGAGCTCGTCATTTTGGCATGTTAATAAAAAAATATATAATAATAATAATAAATAAATAAATAAAATAAAATAAAAAAATTAACAACTCCATGAAGACACATCACCAGCCAGCAATCACCAGAGGATGAATTGGAACTGTTGCTGCATGCAGAGTCCTGCAGATACAAATCAGAAACGTCGCAATCGATTTATTAATCAATAAAGATTATGGAAAATGACACCATAAAAGAAACACTTAATACTTTATAATTTTAAAGGAAAATGACCCTCGACATATTTATTAGGGCGTCATATTATCCATTATACTGACTCATTCTAGTTTTACAAGAATTTTTTATTGGAGAAAATTTTGAAGGAGGTGAAAGAGGGACTTACGTATAACCTAGGAAACCTCTGCTAATAAAGCCAAGAAGCAATGAACCTTGAAACAGAATGCTTGGAACCTGAACCAAATCCCCTGCCACAGAAGGGTTTGTCGAAAGCAGCAGCCCAACGGTGAACATAGAGAGAGAAAGTGCAGCTCCTGCAAATGGTCCGGCCAGCGAAATATCTACCTTTGCTTTGCGATCAGGAAGAATAGACTTGAACTACAGAAAAAAAAATGCGCTAAATGCCACTTGCAATCTTGAGCTAGATACAATAGCATCAAAGAGACTTCCACTTGCAAAATAAAATATGAAAAGCCTTCTGACATGCAGCAAAAAAGTGATACTTATACTAGGAAACATGGATAGTGTAAGAAAATAAATTAATCCAGAAACTAAATCAAGAACTCCATTGCTGATAGCCAGATACTCAGAACATTTTCCTTCTTGTATTCCTTTGACATAAGAAGATTGTATCTAACAAAAACATGTTAAATTAGTTCAAATGTTAAATAGATGCATTGCTGACAGAACAAAGGAGCAAAATAGAAACACAATTTAAAGATATTTGTAGTCAAAGTCCACGTGTGAGCCGTCTAATGAAAAGAAGCAGGAAAAAAGAAAACCCGGAGCTGCATGTTAAGGAACTGGATGTTAATTAATACCCAGTATGACCTCCAACTACAGTAAACAATTACATATCAATATATGCACGTTTGATCCATATATGCTTTACCTGAGTGATTGCTCCAAAATTCCCAAGCGTAATATTCGGAATGAAGTAAGGAATACTCAGTTTCACTTTCCGTGGAAAAGCAGCAAGAAAATGTCCAACTTCCTGTAGGAAACAAACTCCATGTAGAAATTAAAATACAAAATAGAAGATAAAACATCGACCCCATATATGGACAGAAACTAAATTTAGAATGGAAATACTTACGATGCAACACTTATTAGAAGAAAAAAAAGCTTAAAGAACTACAGTTTCATAGACTTTTGAGGCATTTTTCCGGGAATCGAGAGGCATTTTACAGAATCAGAAGGATCAAGTTCTTAATATGTTTAGCAAACTCTCGGATATATAGTTTATGTTAGTAGAGTAAATTTAACATCCTAATTTAGCTAATATTGAAACATAATAGCAACTGCTAGTTCTAAACATGTCAAAAATGTGATTTGGTTACTAGTGAAATACACACAGTGGTGAGGTCAAACATCTGGAACACCCTCAGATTTAAAAATGCTAAAATCCAAAACAAATGGAAAGGAAGCAAAACAATGTAATTGAACAACAGGTAATTAATTTCCGCCAGGTAATTACTATAACTGGATTCATAAATGATACTGATAGGAAAAATTAGAGGAAAACCATGATTCCTTGAAGTGTAGCTGTTATTTGAGACATCACGACATTATTAGGCAAGCATATCTTATCTCATGCACCTTTAATTACAGACATGAAATGTATCCGTAGATAGTTAGGCTGATATTTTTTGAAATTAGAACTTCATAAGTTCAAAACAAAGAAAATATCTTAATATTTTTTTTATTTTTTTTAGTTCTTTAGGATGGGGTGTTTGGGTTTGGGGCACAAAAAAGGATTTGTCTCAAAGGAGATTCGCTTAGTGAGGGAGGGGAAAACAATACTTACATGAAATATCTGAATCCCCAAAACACCATAAGCCAAAGGCAAAGCAGAGTCCACAAATGGAACTAGGAGCTGCATATCCGGTGGGTCAACAGCATTGGGATCCGTGAAATATTTCACTACCTCTGGCGGAAGTCTATTTATCTGCGTCATAAAAACCACTTTTGATATGTATATATAGATCATTAATCAAGAAACAGATATTCTCACGCAGAACAGCATATTACCTGCGATGCTATTCCAAGCTCCACCGACGAACCGATAGTAAGAAGAAACAACAGAAAGGCAATCACATATTGCCAAAGGGTCGTTTGACCTGGCTCCGAAACCTCTTTCCTTAACATGCCAAAGCTGACACGGGGCCCACCACGAGGGTCTTCTCCCTCGGAATTAGGCTCCTCCACCATGAACAAGTTGTATTTATTTCCCATAATTTCTGCTAACTGGCGCTGAAGCTTAGCGTATACATCTTCCCTCTTTCCACGTAAATTGCCAAGAAATAGAACACCTTCTTCTAAATCACCAAACGGTTCCTCTCTAGTTACCCAAAAGGTCGAGTACCCAAAAAGCTTGTCCTTGATAACCTTTACATCGGCGGGGTCCACTCTTTCTGGGCCTAGCAATTCCATCAGTTTAAAAGAATCCACTTGGAAATTGCTATACACAGGTCCAATCGGTGGAACTGTCGGTAGCTGAAATATTCAGAACATTTAGTCACTAGAGACATCATTTACCTTAAACTTCCGAACTCGTTAGAGACAATCCAGCTTGTATGTGTAGCATCGTAATTTAGCTAGTCGAAATGCGTGTATTCGTGTAATAATAACAAAAATATACTCTTCTTAATAACACCACTAAATGGTGATACTAACAAATCTACATCATTGCATCGAATCAGTTTCAATTATTTTTTCGGTTTTTTTAACCACAAAAGAGAATTACAAACCATAATCTAATGATAACATTTAAATGAATTCAGATAAACAGTTCTCTTTGATCAACTGCCGCAATTATATTTCTCTATAGGCAGGATTAAGCTTGATAAGTTTAAATTGAGCTTCAGAACAGTTTCTTAAGGATAATCTACAGCTTCAACCCAAAAGCCAACAGCTCAAAATTGAATTCGACTTATTTGAAATTAGACTTATACTCAAAACAAAAAATCAAAATTGATAACTGACCCGCGAAGATGTAGACGCCGGTGAATCATCGGCATTATCGTCGGAATTCTTCTCAGCCTGCGTCATCGTAGCCAAATTTGAATTCTCTTTGCCATCAATTTCGCCGGTGCTGTTCCTATCATCATCATTCCTATCGTCTTCGACATTGTAACACGACCTAATTACAGAATTGAACCTCCCAAAATCCCCCTTCAGAAACAATCGCCGCCGCTTCTTCAAGGAAAATTCTCCGCACAAGAAACATTTGGTACTGTTAATCTGAGTTTTTCTTCTGAAATTACACCTACTTGGAAGTGTTGAAATGAAACTGAAATTGGATAGGGTTCCCATTCCAATGTGAATTTAGCTTCAACTCAGATACTTACAGTATATATATATATGGTATGTAAATGTGTGTATTGTTTTCAGATAGATTGTGAGAGAGTCATCGTAGAAGGGGAGAACAGTGCATATCTTCTTTCCATCCTTTCAAAATATCCCTCTCGTTTTACCTTTTTTTTTTCTTTTTCCTTCTTATTTCTCATCTTTATTTTTATTTTTTATTTTTATTTTTATTTTTATTTTTATTTTTATTTATTTTTAATTTTATTATTGTTGATTTATAAATACGATTATTTCTTGACATATGCATACATGTACGTGTGTAAAATGCAAGCTTCTTAAAAGTGAAATCTTGGCTATGGTAATTGTTTCAGGGATATGATTATAATAACTAATATTACAGGGCGTACCTCAAGAGTGTAAATGCAATTTACTCTTGTTTTTATTTAAGACGATATTATTTTTTTCATACTTATAAAATATTTTTATTTGAAACAAATATGTTATTAAATATTGATTAGAAATATGTATCTCTCGATGCTTCCTCACACGGGTGAAATTTCTAATTACAGAAAAAATGGTGTCGTTTTAGTGATATGTATGTATAAGGCAAATTACGACAACATCTCAGGTAAGGTTAAATTACGAAAATAGCTCTCCTATTTACATAATTACAAGCTTCCCTCAATTATATAATATCTTACGAAAACATCCTCTACTTGATAAATTTAGGGGCGCTCATTCTGTTACATTGTACAGAAAATTGGGATGCGCCAAAATTTCATTCCATTTACGTTTGGTTTGATAAATAACCAAATTATCTTCTCAAAAAAAAAAAAACCCCAAATTACCAAAATTTTATTAAAAATATGGGGCCATTAGATATACACCCCTAGAATGTAAAATATATAGGCATAAGTCCACCCCTAAAAATCTTTCTTTGAGATACACCCCTGGCCCAAAAAAACCCGAAATTACCCCTGAACCCCAAAACCCAGCCCATATACGGAATTACACAAATTTCAAAATCAATTCCCAAAATCACCCGTCCCTCCACTATCAAAACCTACCAAAAAAACCACCGGAAAAATCAACCTCCTCTCTGCAAAATCGCACCCATCTTCTCGCTACGGGGATTCACCGGAAACGGCAACCCAACCGAGGAAGGCTAGGCATCTTCGTCGATAGCAACCCAGACAACCGCAATTCTAGTCAACTTCCGCTCTTCAAAATCGTATACCACCAACAGTAGTCACCTTCCATCAATGGCGAAGAAGACACCGGCAAAACGTAAGTTTATGGCTACATTACAACAACATACTTTGTTTTCCCCCTCCGTTGGTACCTAAAACCCCCTTCAAACATTTTTTTTCCAGGCCGTAATCGAAAGGAAAAAATGGCACAGACCGAAAACCTATCGACAGGTACTACCCATCTCACTACTTCAAATTTGTGAAAAAACCGTAGTCATGTATCCAATTTTGGTGTCTGATTGTTGTTTCCATTAGTAGTAATTCGTAGTCATATTTGCATGTGTTGTTACATTAATGCATGCCACAGATTTTGTGCTTTTTTGTGTATGGGTGTTGTTTTCATGGGTAGTACTTCGTAGTCATATTGTCATATGTGCTCACATTCATGGATGTTGTTTTGTTTATGCTGTTTTTGTTTGTGGGTGTTGCTGTAACTGGTAGTAATGCATAGTCATATGTAGTCATATGTAGTCACATCCATCCTCTGCTTCAGCATTTGTGCTGTTTCTGTGTGTGGGTGTTGTTTTCATATATAGTCACATCCATCCTTTGCTGAAGCAATTATGCTGTTTTTTGTTGTTGTGAGTGTTGTTGTCATGGCTAGTTCTGGATAGTCATATTCATATGTGTAGTCACATAGATACTTCAGCTTTTGTGTGTTTTTCCTGAGTCTGGGTGTTGTTGTCATGGGTAGTACTACATAGTCATATTTGCATATGTAGTCACATTCATTCTTACTACATCCTGCTTACTACCTCATGTGTGTTTTGTGTGTGAGTGTTGTTTTCAAGAATACTTATTAGCAGTCATGTTCACACCCTAACATATATATAAACATCTTTATGCAGATACTGAAACAAATGAACAAATAGACAGACGTAAGAAGGGAAAATGGACACAATACCGAGCCAACATGCGATCAATCGTGACCTTCTTCGAAGATATACACCTACGACCACCTCACTATGCATGTCTTCGTCGTACCCCATTCTACCATCTCGTTCTACCGTTCGCAAAACACAAACTCAACAGAGATGACGTCGCAGGCACACAAAATGGAACTTTCAAAATAATGACGTCATACAACAAAACAGAAAGGGCATTCCATATAGGAGGCAAAAATATTACAATCACGCCACAAGATTGCAAGTTAATCTTTGACATCCAATCTGGCAACACAAGGATGACTTTTGACTGGTCAAAGAAGCCGCAACAAGGACTCGCAGCACGAAGATTTGCCGCACACCCATCGCTCCACCAAAAAACTTTGAAACACCAGCTTCTGCAGTGCATAGATAGCGATGACGATGAAGACATTGAAGATGTGGTCAGATTAATAATCCTACACCTTATGTCAACTGTCCTTTTCAACACTTCAGCTGAAGTCGTAGCTTGGTGGATGTTCAAGTACTGCGAAGATATCGACCAAACAAATGACTTCAACTGGGCCAGGGGGATAACGGATTTATTGGTTAAACAAATCCACACAGCAAAAAAACATGACAAAGTCCATGGTTGCATACCACTTGTGCTGGTAAGTATGAATAGTCACTTATAGTCACCTGCTGTCATGTACAGTCACTTATAGTCATTTGTTGTCATGTACAGTCACTTATAGTCACTTGCTGTCATGTACATTCACTTATAGTCACCTGCTGTCATGTACATTCACTTATAGTCACTTGCTGTCATGTACATTCACAAATATGACTGATTGTTTATGTTTATTTACGCAGTATTGGATGTGTGAGCGGGTATCAATCGTGCCTCCAGTGGCTGATTCTGCTTTTCCAAGATTCCGGCGGTGGGATATATCCGAGCTTGCATCTACATTGAGCAGCAAAGACATGAACGATATCGATCCACAACTCGTCAACGAGAATCCGCTGATCCCAACAGAGCAAGAACAACAAATCTTAAATGGAAACTTGGTCCTGGACGATATCAGCAACGATGCAAACGATGAACAAAACAACGATAACAACAACAGCAATGCTATAGTGTTCATTCTGCCACTCCTTCTGATTATGACGAGAATGTCCCAATCAAAAACTGGTATAAAAAGCGGCAATCGTCAGATGAACTCAAGAGGCTGTTGGATGTAGAAGCAAAACAAAGGGTAGAACAGGAGGCCCAAGTGTCGAAACTGCAAGCTGTCGTAGAAGAACTTCAAATGGAGATAGTCATGTTAAAAAACGACAAGCAGGTACTTGTTGACGAAAAGGCACATGTCGCTCTTCAACTTGCAAAACTACAGGACGGGGTCGCGCTTAGCAATGATGATGGGCCATCTTTCAATATCTTGAGCCAAACACAGCCGAACCAGAGTGAGCTGCAACAAAAAATCAAAGAGAATGCAGAACTGAAGGCAGAGAATGAATCCCTCATCAAACGCCTTCAAGAGTTGACAAATGCTACAACAACTGTACAACCCGAAAAACCGTTGTCGCTGACACAAGAGTTTGAAGCAGAAAATATCTCACTCACAAACATGCCTGAGCACACAGCAGCCCAAATCTTCTTGGAAGCTGAAATCACCCTCCTAAAATCAGCTGAGAAAACTCATCTTGATAAAATTAGAGAAATGGATGAAAAGATAGCCGAGTTGGAAGCTAATTGTGCAGAATATGCAAAGGCACTTGATGAGCGCCCACCAATACATTCGGACAGCGACTTTGAGATATGTGAGGAAGATATCGAGGCCAAGCTAAAGGACCCAAAATCTGCAGTGGGAAAGCGTACAAGGTCAAAAAAACATGAAGTCACACCACGTAGCACCAAGAAAGCACGTAGGGATTTCAGATACAAAAAATACAACCCATTCATCGGCATGAGTGCAAGAGACAAGGCCATAATAAACACAATGGCAGATGAAATAGTGCATGGGAAGTAAGTAAACTCTAAATACATTCATGTATCCAGTCATCTATATGAAATATTATACTACTTCATACAGTCATATATAGTCATATGACTATATGACTATTAGTGACTAGTTCTATATGACTATTCATATATGTAGTCAAGAGTAGTCATATAGTCATATGACTACCCATGACTACCCATGACTGCACAATCACATGTCTTATTCATACTTCAAAAAATATTTATAAATGCAGTAGAACGGTGTGGAAGAATCCAGATGGCAATATTCATGTTCGGATGGCTGACATCTTTATCATCCTCAGAAAGGAAGATATTTCGGGCGAGGTAAAAACAAATTTAATAACACTGTACAACCTATCCTGCTCACGTTATGTACACAAATTTAATAACACTGTACAATCACAGGTTATAGATGCTTACTGCGAGATATTGGGACATCAGCAAGCTGCAGGGTTGTTTGAAGGTAGCGCTTGTGAGTCGCTTAAGGGAACAAGCATGACGTTCACCAGCATGCTACTGGTACAAAGTCGATAATATATTTGTAATTGTTTTTTTGAATAGAAGTATATGTTTTCCCGTGGTAACTAATCAGTAGTTCTAACATACATCGTTGAGGCAGTCCAGAAACAAAACATTCCACATACCAGCAGAAGTTAGCAAACATAGATACCTCATCTTCCCATTACACTCCGACGGTAATCCTCAAACCGGGGCTAACCACTGGACACTGTTAATATTGGACAGAAATTCAAATGAGTGGCGTTTCTACAACTCATTACATCCTCGCAAAGGTCTTAAGGACCCATACCTGATTGACGCCACCGACATGGTAAACAACTACTGACTATTTATTTCCAGCAACTACTTATTTAATAACCAAATATCTAATTCATTCATGTACACAGAAAATGTATGTCGAAAACACAGCAAGGAAGTTTAACATCTCTGCCATTCCCATAAACGCACCGCTGCATGAGGTAAATGACTCACCCCAACAAGCAGATGATTCAAGGGATTGTGGTATTTTTGTCCTGTTTGTTATAAGGAACACATTCCGCCAAATTCCACTGGTTACCAACGACGCTGAGACCGGTGTCGATTGCATGAGGAGGTCCGTTGTTGAATCATTGCTCCACTACAAGATTAATTAGACAATTATTATTCCTATTAATTGAAGCTTTTATTTCTGTAAAACTATTTGCACCAAGACAGAATCTTATGTAGTTGTACTTTTATATGACTATTTTGTAGTACTTTTGTATGACTATTTTTGCAGTACTTAAAATATCTTTTCTTATGCCTATTATATGCGTTACCATTCTTCAAAAATGTTATTTTGTAGTACTTTTGTATGACACCACTACATACATCTATGATACTACATAAAGTCATATAAAGTCAGATAACAATGTGGCTATATATGACTACATGTGACTACATAGTCACCTATAGTCACATAGTCATATGACTATTTAAGACCCCGTAGTTGTAAATACTCATATGACTAAGTGACTGCAGGTGTTAGAATCCAAACACAGAAAACTGTACTTACATGTATCAGTAATAGCGAAATTCATTACTCAAAAAAACAGATCATGTACTTGGAAACTCAAGAAAAAAATTCACAACCTATGTTCCACACAAATTCAAGGCGGTAGAAAAAGAAAAAAAGAAATTGAAATACATTTCTGTTCCACTCAAGTCTCATACAGGCCTCATGCACGTTTTCTTGTTGTGATTGCCCATGCGGTTGCATGAGCTGCATTTTATCTTCCTCTTAACCTTCTCACCTCTCGAAGGAATTCTATTTTTTTAGGAAAAAATAGAATCAGGAGGTCTTTTTATCGTTTTTTTGTCTTAGTGATTTAGAATAGAACAAGTATTCAAATGTAAGAGAATGAATAAGTATTTCCATCTCAGGATTTCGAATATCTTAATCTTAGTGTTGGTATATTCCATTTATTAGAATTTGGGTGGGGTTTTCACCTTCGGTCTGCCACGCCGAATATGATAATCTGCAGGTCCAACCAAATGCAAATCACCATCAAAATCTGGCTTGACAAATGGATAAATACTGTGCGAATACGTGGTTTTATAACACTCAACCGTGTAATAGTAGTCAACATATGCATAACCATCATTATTGTTATGGAACGGAACACACGCAGCATGTATACACGGCAAACCATTGACTTGCCACGCTCTACACGTGCACGACCTGTTGCGAATGTCAACAACATCTGTTGGATTACTAAGCACCTCGTAAATGTACTCCGATGCCCTCTTTGTTGTCAAAACTCTACTGTCATGTACTAGTTTATTAACAACACCTGAATGGGAGTGCAAAGTACAGTTGACATAACCGCAGCCTCCTCTGCCCTTACACACATTTCCACCATCATAATACTCCTAAGACCATCAACCACATCTGTTATAGGCAGGCCACGAATGCCGCCAATCTTCATATTCCACGATTCTGCAACACTAGATGCCATCTGCCCATATCTATTCCCCTCAAAATGTGCACAAGTCCAGTTGTTATACGGAAGGTCTGCTAGAAAATTTCTAATCCTTGTACCTCCAGTTTCTATAAACTCATTTATATGCACATCAAACTCAGATTTCGTAGGAGCGTAGGCACAAGCATTAAACAAATGAGCCATCTTCTTTCGAAAACCAGATGGACAACCTCTACATTTACTTGACAAATTTAATTGCAAGTGATACAAACAGTATATATGAAGACAATCAGGGAATATATTTTTCACCCCATCCAAAATACCGTGATTGCGATCCGAGAAAAACGTCACCACACGATCCGTGCCAATGCAAACCCTCAAATGAGTAAGAAAGTAAGCCCAATTGCTATCAGATTCTTCACTAACTATGCCAAATGCAACTGGGTACAATTCTGTGTAAAAAAAGGAAACAACAACAGCCTTAGTAATATATAGTCATATATAGTCATGTATAGTCATATATAGTCATAAATCACATTAAAAGGTACAGAAACATACTATTATGACCATCTTGCCCAATTGCAGTTAACAAAATGCCCTTGTGTTTGTTGTGCAGAAATGTTCCATCCAGGGAGAGTGACGGTCGACATGACTTAAAACCCGACAAGCATGCACCAAAAGCAAAAAAACAACGTCGAAACTTCATCGTATCTGCATCGATGTCAAGATTGTAAACGCTATCCGGATTGGTACGACCAAGTTCTTCGAAGTACGACGGTAAGTGTGAGTATGAACTAGTATCATCACCAAAAACATGTTGCTTCCCTGCCGTGACAGACCTCCAAGCCACATAATAGCTAATGTCGACTCCATAATTCAGCTTCATATCCACAACAACATCATTAGCAACCATGTCTGGCTTCGCTCGTACCAAATTAACTATCATACTAGCAATAATGTCAGACGTCATTCTATTATGCCTTGACGACCCAAAAGAAGATCCACAAGTGTGATGCTTCTCAAATTTCTTTATATAAAAATAACCATTGGCCTTCTCAACTCATGCGTGTATCCTCCACATACAGTTCTTTACTGTCCTGTGTCTGCATTCAGCTGTGACACGTACACGCTCATTCTTAACGTATGTAAACTCAAATCCAGTTTCCACCGAATACATGCATAAAGCTTTCCTAAACTCCACAGCACCTCCACGAAAAACTTGACCAACATCCTTGATCAAATCAGCCCAGTTAGCACTCATCAACTGAGTTTGACCACACATTCCAGCATTTTGCAAGTGATTGATTCCACTACCTTGACCAAATTCGAACGCAACCTCATCATGCAGCTGTGCCCGATTAGACAAACATGATACACTTGATACCACATCAGGAACAACTCCCTCTCTTTGTTTAACACTCACTTCAACACGATCAAGAGACATCTCGCGCGCTAACGACAACATGTAAAACACATCGTCATCATCACACAACACACCCTCCCCATGACCAGCAACCGTATACGTGAGAGACATGGTGTTCTGGTGCAATGAGCCCCATTTGGCCCTTACGTATCCAACCAACTCTTGAAATCCAAAGGAAGTAACACATTTTCTCACACCAAATAATTCTCCAAACCTCATTATTAGTACAATATTTGTAGACATTCTGGACCTGTAAACAAAAAGTACTGTATATGACTACTGTAACATATATTTAACTACCCTGACATGCACCAGATCTATGATACTAAATATGACTACTCTTGTGTATACCAATACAAATCAAAAAATATATACAAACAAATTCAAAAAGCAATTCTGTATATGACTACTCTGAAATAAAACAGGTGTATGATGCTAAACATGACTACTCTGGTATATAACAGGTGTATGATACTAAACATGACTACTCTGGTATATATCAAATACAAAATTCTGAAAAAATCAAACCGACACAATTCTGTATATGCAACAGGTCTACGATGCTAAACATGACTACTATGGTATATATAATTACAAATCTCTAAAAAAATCAAAAAACAATGTAATATCGAAATGCATAAACACAAGCACAATTGACGAATAAAAACCCCAAACTGTATAAAAACACAGGAAAACGCATAATCACAATTAAAAAATCAACGAACACCCAGCCGCACATCATGATCATAAACAAAAACGAGCCATGAAATCTCTGCAAAAAAAATTAAAAAACAAACCTTAAGGAAGCGATTGAGATGGTGAAAGCTGAACCACGATCGCAAATCACGCTAAAACACCCAAAAATCCGAAACCCTACCCAATCGTATAACGAAGCGATTGAGATGGAGAAAGCGCGAGAGAGAAATCACCGTGAAAAACACGGCCGGGAGGAGGGAGAAAAATAAGCTGCTTCCTTCTCTACAGTTAGGAAATTTCCTTGGCCAAACAAACAGAAAATAAGGGTAAAATAGTCATATCCTATGTACTTGAAAAATTATCTCAATATGGCCCTCGCCGTTAGTTTTTAGACATTTGACCTTAATACTGTTTGATCTAAGTTTGAAAATTACAAAAAACCCACCCCTCCCAGTTTAAATAATTATTAAAAAATAAAAAAATAAAAAAAAATTGTGGGTGGTGTCGTGGACTATGTTTTCTCGCTCTCTTGAATTTTTTATTATTTTTTTGTTTTTTTTTTAATTTTTTTAAATTTTTAAATTTTTCAATAATTATTTAAACTAGAGGGGTGACATTTTAGTAATTTTCATACTTAGATCACCCGGTGTTAATGTCAAGGGTTTGAAAACTAACGGCGATGGTCACATTGAAACAAATTTTCAAGTACAGGGGGGCGAATCGATGCAATCGATAGTAGATGGGGGTAAAGTGATATCGAACCAAAGTTACAAGGGTTCAAATCGATTAATTGAGAGTAGAAAGGGGTAAAGTGATATCGAACCAAAGTACAAGGTGTCAAATCGATGCAATTGAGAGTACAATGGGGTAAAGTGATATCCAGCCAAAGTAAAGGGGGTAAAGTGGAATTTACCCTAATTATAAAGGACGCTTATAAACGTTGTCAATTTGAAACGGAACCCTAGTTCTAATCACACATCCATTCTGTTCTAGTAACTACCGGCTATGGGAAGAAAATGCGGCGGCGGCGGCGGCGGCGGAGCAAACCGGTCGATTTCCGATCGTGTCCTCCGCAGCCGTATCGAATCAGCCTCGAAGAGCAACGCAACAGTCGAACAATTGGTGGAACACCTCCGTTCCAGATACGTTGAATACGTCCGTCAGAAACGCCAGCCCTTCACCAGACGGGTGGAATCGATTTTTCAGTCCATAAGCAGCAGGATAGACAACGCCGTTGATGATTCCAACGACGACGGCGATACTCCAATTACAAAGAAACGGAGGAGAACCGACGAGAAAGAGGAAAGGTTAGGGCTTATCGAAGCTCAGCACTTGAGGAAGAGGATTAACAGCGGCGATGTTTGGAACAATAGCAGCAGCGGCGGCGGCGGCGGCTCATCTTCTTCTGTGGTGGCATCCGCTAGTTCCTTGGAGGAAGAGGAGGGTTCCTCCGATGAAAAGGTGTCCACATCTTCAGCAGACGCCATCTATGGGGAGAAGTTCGAGCCGGAGTTTGACTTGATGAAGTTGACGGTGAGGGAAAACTTGCGCAGAAAAGCCGAGAAAATGGGGGAGGGGAAGAAGGTTAAGAAAGATGTAGAATTGAAGATTGTGGATAACACAGTTGTGAAAAATGTCAACTTGGTTAAATTGGGTGATGTTCCGAGTAAGATTAGTAAGAATGATAATGGTGATAAGAATAAAGGGATAATGTTTAAGGATTTAGGGGGAATGCGTGGAGTGATTGAGAAGTTGAAAACCGAGGTGATTGTGCCGTTGTATCATCTGAATGTACTGCGCTACCTCGGCGGGGGCCCAATGGCAGGGATTTTGTTCCACGGGCCACCGGGATGTGGGAAGACCACGTTGGCTCGGGCCATTGCCAACGAGACTGGACTTCCGTTTTACCAAATTTCCGGTACTGAATTGGTCTCTGGAGTTTCAGGTACTACATTCGATTTGGAATCTTAATTCTGCGAAAAGGCGAATTGCGGATTGTGATTTGGAATACATTAGGATCTTGATGTCACTGATAGACATGTATGGTTGATTGATCGTCGTTTTTTTGTGCAATTATTTTCATAAAATGATCTGAAAGTAACAAATTTTACCAACTCTCTAGTTTACTGAAGTCTATTTGTCAACTGAAAACCCCATCATCATTAACATAGATTACTTTTAGGTTTGTGTTTTTATAGAACTTAAAGCTCACCCGTATGGTTCATCTTCTCTTTCTTTTTCGTTGATCCTAGGTGCATCAGAAGAAAATATCCGAGACTTGTTCACAAAAGCACAGAGGACAGCGCCATCTATTGTGTTCATCGACGAAATTGATGCAATTGCTTCGAAAAGGGAAAATTTGCAGAGGGAAACAGATCGACGCATTGTGACACAGTTGATGACATGCATGGATCAATCAAACAGGCTCGTACAACATTTTGACGACGATGCAGATTCTGAAATTTCTGGTTCAAGACAACCTGGCCACGTTCTTGTAATTGGAGCAACCAATAGACCTGATGCTGTTGATTCTGCCTTGAGGAGGCCTGGACGATTTGATCGTGAATTTCTTCTAGGTGTTCCGGATGAATCTGCTCGGGTTGAAATACTGTCTGTGCTAACACAGAATTTGAAACTCGAAGGTGATTTTGATCTTGGGAAATTAGCTAGGTCTACTCCAGGGTTTGTTGGAGCAGATCTGAAAGCACTAGTCAACGAGGCTGTTTACCTTGCATTAAATAGAATCATAAACGAAAGAAAGGTGGAGTTTTCCAAAAAACCGACAAACAGGGATGATTGTGACGATTGGTGGAAGCAGCTATTTTCAGATGAAGAAATGAACGAACTCTGCATAACCATGAATGACTTTGAGGTAATTTGTCAATTATAGGCTGCAAACTGGTAGATGGTGATTTGGTGTTTTTGCATGCTTATTCTGAGCCCCTCTTATTCTTTTGATCTCTCCGCTTCTTAGAAAAGTTACGAAACATTTAAAAGAGAGAAATGCTGATTTTTTTTGATTGGTCTGTCACTACACGCTTCATCTACCAATTAGATCCGGTGTTTTTCATAGAAAACGTAGCTAAATACATAATTTATTGTAAACCTATCACCCTTTTATGCCATGCATTCCTGTGTGACCTGTGGCATGTTGTAGGTAGAATACAGTTTTTTGGAGATGGCGAAACTAGAATTTTTGTATAAATATGCACCAATTTGATTCTGCAAAACGAGTAAGCCACTAGTCAACTTCACCTACCCATGTGAAGCAGACAAAAAAAGTTACCGTAACATTTATGACTTTTCAACATCTATATGTAAATGATAATGGTAGTACATTCTCTACTTTGTGTACCAATCAACATAATAGAACCAAAGTTACTTTTAACTGATATTCTGATGCATATTATCTTTTCATCCCACTGATGGCAGGAAGTTGTTAAACTGGTTCAACCTTCTTCTAGAAGAGAAGGATTTTCTGCTATACCAAATGTGAAGTGGGATGATATTGGAGGTTATAGTTCTCTCAGACAGGAGTTTAACCGCTCGATAGTCAGACGTATAAAGTATCCTGAAGTTTATGATGTAAGTTTTCCAATTGTGTAATTTATTGAGCTGATCTAGAGTTTTTTTTTTTTGGAAAAAAACTAGAATTTTTTGCTTTCTGCTTAAATTTGAGTTTCTCATTTTGCAACTAAATTTTCTGGTAACAGTCTCATATTTGTGCTATTCTATCAAATTGAAATAGAATTGTATGAATCTGGAATTCATTTAGTCTCTATTTCTGTAAAAAAATAAGCTTATTTATCCCCCACAAAAGGCTGCCATAATATCTTCCTAATTGATGTCCTTTCATTATTTTCATTATTTTTATTGATAAAATAAAAGTGACTCTCAGGTGTTTGGAGCTGCTCATTAATTTCTGTGTTTGTAGGATATTGGGATGAACTTGGCGACGGGATTTTTGCTCTATGGGCCTCCAGGTTGCGGAAAGACATTGATTGCCAAAGCTGTTGCTAATGAAGCAGGAGCTAATTTCATACATATCCAGGTTTTCCTTTTTTTTTTTAATCTTTTCTTTTTTTAATCTTTACTTTTAACCACTATCTAGTTTTGGGAATCTAGTTTGGGAAAATGGAGATGCATTATTTTCATACTCTATTACTTTTCTTGTACTTCAAGGGCCCTGAGCTCCTGAACAAATATGTTGGTGAAACTGAGTTGGCAGTGCGGACAATATTCAGTCGTGCAAGAATATGTTCTCCATGCATCCTGTTCTTCGATGAGGTACTCTTTGTTTCCCTTCTTACTGTTTCTTGCTTTCGGTGTTGACTTGTGTGTTATGTTGCTCTTATTTTCCTTCTCACGGCGTTTTGTTTTTCTAAGCTACAATTGTTTGCCTACTTGATTGTTTCTCTCTTGTAAAGTTTATATACATATATATAATGTTTCTATTAGGTGGATGCGTTGACTACAAAGCGTGGTACAGAAGGGGGGTGGGTTGTTGAGCGGACCTTGAACCAGGTTAGCTAAAACAACACTTTCTTAAAATGATATTTGTTTAAAAATGTATTCTTACTCGACACGTCCACACCTTTGTGAACTGGGAATGGACTATTATCTGCCATTGCAGCTTTTAGTAGAGCTAGACGGTGCAGAACAAAGACGGGGTGTTTATGTAATTGGCGCTACAAATAGGTAAATACGAACATTTCCATGGTTGAGGACTAAAACGTATTTCTATATATATATATATAAATATATATATATATATATATATATATATATATATATATACATATATATATATATAATTTATTTTGACTGCGTCTTATCTTGCTGACATACTGACAGGCCCGATGTCATGGATCCTGCTCTGCTTCGGCCCGGAAGATTTGGAAAGCTTATGTATGTTCCTCTGCCTACTCCAGATGAACGTGCAATGATTTTGAAAGCCCTTGCTCGAAAGATGCCAATAGATGATGATGTGGACCTGCTGGCTATTGGGAACGCGTGTGAACATTTCAATGGTGCTGATCTCGCTAATCTGGTATTTCTCTCCTTTTGCCTTTGGCTTTTTTTTTTTTTCTTTTTTTTTTTTTTTTAAATTTTATATATATATATATATATATATATATATATATATATATATATATATATATATATATATATATATATATCCTTTCTCGGTTCTGTAAAGAACAACCCTTCTGAATTTTGTTTAGAGCTTAGCAAAAATCAATTTTTTTTTTGAAAATCTTTCAGGAAATAAGCAAATTACACTTGTTATTGTCGGTTTGAAAATAGAACGATTACCTTGTGAGATACTGCCATATATGGAATTACAGCCTGTAAATTAGCTGACTGTTTTGTTGCAAAATGAACTTGCTTTTACTAAAAAATGAAGGATGTAATAAGTCACTAGTGTTATTTTGAAGGGAAAATTGTAGTTTTGGTCCTCTATATTAGTCTATTTAATTGAAAATAGGACAACTTCGAGGACTAAATACGATTTCTCTTTATTGCGAAGGACAAACGTAGTTTACTATAAAAAAAAAAGCACTCAAAACATCCTTTGCAGAATGGATTAGGTATAATTATTTCCTGTCTAGTGAGAATTGCCATGGTCACTTGTGGTAAGGATTAAGGTTTCTTGATAATGAGGCACATTTTATTCAACAATGTTAGATTAATGAAGTTGGCAAGCTTGCTGCTGACGAGAGAGTGAAACTTCTTGAAGAGAGAGAGAAACAGAAAACACCATGTAGAAACTCCGACTTACCTCCGATCACCATTAAAAACAAATATTTCAAGAGAACATTGGAGAATATCCCTCCTCCCTCTGTTTCGTACCAGGTACAGTTCACACTGCATTCTTACTCGCCCATTGCTTCGGTTTTGCTCTCTCTCTCTCTTGACCAATGCTCATTTTTCTTTGGGGTGCAGGAAAGACTACACTACAATCTTTTGTCTGAAAGATTCAAAGGTGCTTGAGAGCAGAGTTTATGCTCAAAATGATTTTGTCTTTTTTTTTTTTTTTTTTTTTTCCCCCTCATATGAGTTAATTATACAGTTAAATTGTTAATAGCTATAGAGTTCTAGATAACCCCAAAAAAAAAAAAAAAAAAAAAATCTTAGTTTAATACTTTAATTATAGCTAATTGTAAAAGACTCCTTGATAGCAATTAACAATCACAATCAAGTATTACAAGTAAATGCAAATAAATGGTAATGAGCCCCTACTTGCCTATGTTTTTAGTTTCAAAATTGGATTTTCTTGCCTTAAATTCAATCAATTATCTGGAGTGTATCTTTCGGTTATAAATATACAGTCCCTACGTGTTCACTGAATATCAGTCCATCTTTAGATTCATTACAACATAAGCTTTATTTATTAGGACAAATTTTCCATTTTTACTAAAAATTAGAAAAAAAAGGGACAATTTCCCTTTTAAAATATTATTTTGGTTGTACTTTGCCCTAGAAGCCAATGTTTTGTTGGCAACGTGCAACAAAAACAACATTTTAAAGGGGCAACGTGCAAAAAAATAATATTTTTAAGGGGTACCATGAAACAAAAATAACATATAATAGGGCAACATGCAACAAGAATATTCAATTCCGATGAATAATTCCTCAGAATTTTGAGGAGAATATTCACTTTGTAACATTTTGAGAGAGTAAAGTGTGAAAATTAGAAATTTTGAGGGGGTGATGTTCAATTTGCAATATTTATTATTAGGGCAAATTGTACTTCGCCCCCCTCAAAAGAATCCTTTTTTGCACTTCCCCTCAAAATACAAAAATGAGACTGTCCCTTCGAAATATACAACTTGGTGCACTTTGCCCCAAATGTGTATTTTCAGCCTAAGTCTTGCCTAATACATATTTATGACAAAATGCAAAAAGGGTTCTTTTGAGGGGGCGATCTGCAATTTGCCTGTATTATTATTTATTATTATGAAAATTTCAATGCAAGCTTGGTTTCTTTATAGTCACTAATTTGGATTAAATTGAATTAGCTTACATATCAACTTGTTAATTATTTAGTTAGTAAAATGTTCGTGTTTGAATTAAATAACATAAAAATCTAGCAGTGTTTAATATAATAATGTTTCCCTTCTTGAATCAGAAACTCCATGGTTTCCCACACCGAAAGGTGAAGGAAACTCACATGTTTCTCTCTCTCTTTCTCAATTGATATTTATTAAAGAAACACAACATTTATTTATTTATTGGATTTATTTATTTTTGTTTTTTACAAAATTAATTGGCAAGAAATTCGTGACACCATTCTGTCAAAAATATCCTTGCTGTCGTTTCTAGTTTCTTCTTTCATGTAGGAAATAATTAAGAAGGTCTTATTCATGCTTACTTTTTCAGTCAAAAACCATAGCATATACTTACAAGTTACATACATTGTTATGAACTTGCTTATTTATGAAAATTAATGAACACAAATCTGAAAGTAGGTAGAATTGTATTGATGAAAAAGTGAGGAAACATTCAATACAAACCAGACAAAATCTCCATCTCAGCTACACTACACTACCTACTTTAGTGATATCATAAAAGCATAAAAGAAATGCAGAATTTGATGGTCTATAAATAGCAAAACTCCAAAGGAGCCTTGGGGAGCACTCTGCTGACTTGAAGCATGAAGAAAGTGTGAGTTCACACAGTCATCAAAACGATGGCGTTTTGATGATTCCAACTTAAGCTTAAAAGCGTGTTTTGCTCAAACAACCGGTCATGCTTTTATAAGTGCTGCGACGTCGTTTTGGGATTTAATACTAAAAATTGAAAAACGGTTAATACCGGTACATACATACATCGGCAATTGAATAGTTCAACATGCAACCCTAGCTAGTCACATCTTGAGGGGCGGTAACCCCCTTCAGTTAGCGCTATAATTTACCGTTTTCAATTATTTAATATTTTAGTCATTTTTGTCAATTTACCGTTAGTTCGTCAGTTAAGGCATTCATCGGCACACGCTTGATTCTGTTAGTACTAGAGGAAAATTGACGGGAAGGACTTAAAATGTTGAATTTTTGAAACATGAGGGACCAAATATGGAATTGGTGCAAAGTTGAGGGGTGAAAACTATAGTTTCTTAAAAAAAAGTATATTCTAAATGACAAAATGCACTTCACCCGAAAATTTCTCGATTTTTTCACTTTCACCCCTACAAATTGAAAAAAAGAGATTCTCCCCCTTCAAAATTTTGTTCCTATTGCAGTTTGTCCCAAATTACAATTTCAAGCTTATGTTTCACCGGAATTGCAAGGATTAGGGCTTCTGAGTAAGGTCTTGAGAGTGTAGATATCTTACACCATCACTACACATGTATATCTACTTTTAGCTCATTTGTAGGTGTAACACCCGGGCTTTCAACACGGTCCGTTAGCCCATTGAGATCCGAGCAATAACGGGCCCAAGCCGAAGATCTATAAAATGTATTGTTGCCTAGTAGTAAGCCTATCTATAAACTCACACATAATTACATATTTTTTTCCGACGGGTGTTACAGTAGATTGCCATATGGACGTCATGTGAGGTTCTCGTGACTATTCCACTCAACAACTATGATGCGGTCAACAATAAGCTAACTCGAATCACCTTAAATTGACTCTTAAACTTACAACGAATATTCGAGAGCCGATATGATCTTGCGATGATCTTCTTCAATCTGACGAAACAAGGCGTTCCCTGCGTAAGAGAGATCCACATTAGGGTGCCGGAGCTTGGTTCCGGCGAAAACCCTCCGATGCTTAAGTAAGTCCGGATTCCAAGAGAAGAATATATCAGAGGAATACGAGAAGAAAATATTCTAATGCCTATATCGAAAAATAATTACCTTTTCTTAATAAAATTGAACCATTTATATACGAAATTTTATCATGGGCCTGAAATGTAATCTTGGGCTTTTGATTGATAATTAATTGGGCCCAAATGTTATAATTAAAATATTTGAGCTTCATCATATTTTCAGCCCATATATATCAAACTACATTTGAAAACATGACAAATTTGCAAAAATATGGTAAGTTTGGGGACCGAAAAATCGTACTAGAAAATTTTGAGGGACAAAATCAAATTAGGTCACAAGTATTAAGGGCAAAGTGTAATTATTCTCAAAACTTGGTGGGCAAGTAAGTGAACCCTGATTTTGTTTGAGAAATAGAATCCCATTCTAATTATTCTCTCTCTTCATCCCCAAATCAATCCTTTCCTTTCCGATGGCGAAGGAAAACGAAAAAATAAATCTAGATGAAAGCTCTGAGATCTCGAAATCAACATCCATCGCCATCGAAGACATCGACAGAGAAACCCTGGCAGAGGTGACCACATACCTGAAGACACGCGCCGGCAAAAGCTCGAACGAGGAGAAAGAGAAGTCCGACCAGGAATTTATTTCCGACAAGGATATCCATGATCTCTTACAGTTGCTTCCGGCCGTGGCCTACCTCAACGTAACAGGGTTACGGGAAATGGTAGAACAGAAGATAGCTGATACGATGGAGGGTAAAAGCGTCGCTTGGATTAGGGAAGTTTTCGGCCTTACAAACGATTTGGATGTTGAAGATGCGGCCAGGCAAATGAACCCCTGGGCTTTCAATGATTGATATATATATATATATATATATATATATATATATATATATATATATATATATATATATATATTATGTGGTGATTTCTCAATGGATTTGATTTTAGTGAGATTTATTTGAATAATTGTTGAATCTTAGAGATTTCATTCAGGAGTGAGTTTTGCTTAAAAAAAAAATTCATCACATTATTATAACATACATAGCAGCGTGTTTCAGTTTTCTACTCTGATTTATTTTTGTCTCTACTAATAATTTTGTTATGGGAAATTCAGTAATCTATGAAAGAAAAGCCCTACTCGATATTGATTTGGGAATCTAACATATTACATCAATAAGTTATATGTTTCATTTGTTGTTTGCTTTTGTTATTTGTATCTCTAATCTGCACATGAGATCAGATAATTTTGCAGAAATTGAATTAGATTCACGTGGAAAGTACTAAATGTTGTTTGTGATGATGTTCTAAGTTCTAACTACTCAGTTATTTATCCACATGTATGTTTGTTACGTGGAATAATTTTCTTTCTCGAATTGTCTCTGCTAGCTAGCTCGTACTTTGTATTTGTAGCAACAGAGAGATGTGATTTATGGCCATTTGTCCATGTTCTGTGTACCACTCATATATAGTCATTCATCAACTCCACCTTTATCATCCCCTTGTCTGTTGTTAATAGCCTGTTTCGGTTTTCTCACCTTAATTCTGAATCTTTATACACCTCTCGGCATGCATCTCCAACACAATACCTATATATATATATATATATATATATATATATCCATTTGTATGATACTTATTCTATGTTGATCATGTCACAAATATGTGACAAGTACCTACTTCCCTTTTGTCTTAGGAAAATATTTAGCATGCATGTTGAGTTTCTTGAATTTAAGAATGAAGAATAAGACCCAAAACTAGGATGTTTGACATGATCACCAGATCGATGTATCCGTTGTTTGTGCAAATTAAAGTAGTTTTCGATACCTTTCCTTGGTTATTAAGGATCGGATGACCTCAGCAAATACCTTCCTGTTTCAACATTAGCAAATGGAGAGAATAAATCATCTCTTGTCTCGATATTTGAGCTCTGCTGCACCTTTGGCTAGCTTTCAGAGTATCAGCTCCGATCGTCTTATTGCTTCAACAAATGAGAGAGAGAGAGAGAGAGAGAGAGAGAGAGAGAGAGAGAGAGAGAGAGAGAGAGAGAGAGAGGGTGTTTGCTAGAAGGAGAGCCGCGGCCCAGTTATGCTCGGGGTATTTGTGAAAAATTTGCAATCCAATCCAAACTTAAGGAACCATTAAGGGCTAAAATAAAAAAAAAACAATGTATAATAGGAACCAAAACTCTAATGTTTTTTCCTCCAAATTTTCTCTTGGAGAGTTGGAGTAGATTTTAGTGGATATACATAATACATTTTTAATCAGACAGTTTATAAGATCTTTCGATTTATATGTCTATAAAAATCTGTTAACCTAAGTTGTAACAGTCGGTGTGGAAACAATATTCAGTTACAACTATAATTCATGTGTTAACACAATTATAAACTACTGAAAGTGAGTAAATAAACACAAGAATTTAATGTGGTTCAGACACAATTTCACTAGTTCAGATTTACAGTGTACATTAATAGGACTTATTAAAATAATTAAGACTACCTCTTCAATTCTTTATGCCGTTCTTGTACACAATTTGAACTCCGTGTCTCTTCCAACAGCAGCTCCACACCGCGTGCCTCGAACTCCCTTCAGGCCTGAACTCCCTTTAGAAATGCGATTGATCTTTATTGAGATCTATACAACAAATCTGTATATGTTGGCTGTCTATACAACAGATCTGTATATGTTGGCACACACAACGATGGTACAGTGCAACGATGCCATCCTGCTCCGCAGAACGCCTTAGCAAACCTTCGATGCTATGAAGTGGTTTTTCTTCCAAATAATGCACCCGGTTCTTGTATGTCTTGGAGGCTTATATACCACGAAAATAAGCCCCTAAGACCTAACTTCAATCTCAAGAAATCTATTTAACTAGGTAATAGAATTCTAGTTGATTTGTACTTCTATTCTAGATAAGTACAAAAGATACTTAACTAGAATAAAATACATGGAAATAAATCTAAGTCCTAATAGAAGTATTATAAGAGTAGGACTCTAATAAATTCCAAAATAAACATGGAAAACAAATCTTTGCCAATCTTTTAGTTCCAAAAACTCGGTGGATTTCCTCGATCTTCAATAGTCGGAAATATGGCGCCAACAATCTCCCCCTTTGGCATAGATTGATTAGAATCCATGTTTAACAAAAACTCTCCCTGCAAAATAGAAATACTCCCCCCTGCAAAAGAGATATACTCCGCCTGTAACACAGACTGTTAGGACACTAAAAGTTTCGACATAAAAATGTCGTAACCAACTAAATGTTCATGCAATGTCAGAATATAAACTTAAACACACGACATAACACACGACATATCAAATAAAAATATTCAAAGCGCAGGAAATCACAACGCAAGTGTTCCGGCATATGTTGTTACTATTTCTGTCACAACGCAAGTTGTTATGTTAGAGGTTGTTACTACTCCCCCTTTCTGATCAGTCTGTGCCAAAGATAGACTTAGGGTTCTAGTTAGAACAAAGGTCTGTTAAGACACGCAATCAACAAATAAGGTAAGCCTCAAAAAATACAAAATATCTACATCCCCTCAATTCGAAAATCCTCATAAATGTGGAATTCAAAATATTTTCGAAAAACAAAAAAACATCAGCCCAAGTATGAACCAAGTTTGAAAAATGAAGGAAATCAAGTAGACCAAGTTAGCCAAATAGGAAGATTCTTTTCAAGGATTAATCAAAAGAACATTGAAAGAAACTAGATAAAATGCTATCAACAAGCTCTTGGATGTACGATATACCTATAGCCTCATGACCATACTCAAGAAATCATAAATTAGGTATTTTAATGGGATTAAGAATGCATATGCGATTAACACAACAATTCGATCGTGAACTTCAAGAAGAATTTCACTAATAAATAGCTGAACAACATCCCAAGAAATCACACCCTTGTTTTATTTTGCCCGTTATTTTTTATTTTTTTTAATATCAGATCAATCCGTAGATTTGGCAGATACATCTCCTCCCCTCTTTTTTTTTTTTGTGATTCTTGATATGTAGTTCAACCAAAGGAGGGCAACCTTCTTAAGAATTCACATAGCTTTTTAATTAGAAGTCGGGAATGCATATGCAAATGACATAATTCTTCCTATAGAAGTATGATCGTTGAGATGAATGAGGTCATAGGAATTGATCACTCCCGATAGAGGGTGGCAGCTCTCTTCTATCTAAAGTTCTCGCAGGAACAAAAAAATAATCCACAAAAATTATCGACCGAAATTCAGATAACAAGAATAAACAATCAAACCTTTCAAAGTAAAACAAGGATCAACAAAGGCTGAAACATGTTACCACAAGAAATGTGTGGTAACTCAGTATGTCCTATCAAACTTTCAAGTGTAACCCGGACATAACAGAAGGATGGTTACACTATTATTTCATTGTTCATTTATGAACACAGCAAGTTCCAAGCGATTTACGCAAGGAATCAAATCGAGTGGAATCTAAAGGTTTTGTAAAAGAATCAGCAAACTGATTATCTGTTGACACACAGTCTATTGACATAACCTTTTGTTCAACTAGATCTCTACCAAAATTAATAGTTCTTTTACCTCTAACGTGTTTCTTAGTTCCATCACCAAGAGTTGCATGTCCACTTCCATATTTCTGATAGTCCTTCAAGTGCTTCGGATTACCTGTTATATACTTAGAACAACCACTATCAGAGTACAACAAGTTACTAGCACAAGCATTAAGAGTTGTTGCAGCGGAAAAACAATTAATGTCATCTTTTTTCACCCATTTTTGTTTTACATCATCAGAGTGTCCCATCTTAGGAGCATGTTGCAACGCAGCGGAATTGGGTAAATGTTGTGACAAACTCTTATTTATTAACTTACATCTTAAAAAACATTTTGGTCTGATGTGACCCAATTTATGGCAGAAGTGACAAGTTGGAACAAACCATTTTCCATTAGTTTTACGAGAAAACTATTGGTTTGTTAAGACTTGCGAGTTGTTAGGACAATCAGTTTTCTTCACAAAAGTGTTTTTAGGATCAACCTTTTTGTCAAACTTACACACATGTTTTTTCTTACTCGCAAGAGGTTGAGATTTGTTTAATTTAACTGTTGTTTTAGTTTCTCAACATCTTTTGTAGCAGTATTCAATTTGAACAAAAGTACCTCTTTATCTTTCTCGAGCTCAACAACTTGTGTCTTCAAGGCCTTATTCATTTCAACTACATCAAGACATGTTTTGAGCAATTCACCTTGTTGCTGAATCATTTCGGCAGTAATCTCCTCTTCATCATCTCAGCTAGTTTCACCTGTATTAAAAGAAGAGTTTAGACTAACAAGGTGATCAGACAGGGAATGTTCATACCTGACGAATGTCTGCACATGCACTGTAGCCTCAGCTATTGGTTGAACAATCGTGCTAGTCCCACAGAAAAGATTTCCATCATTTTTGTTTTCCTCCTCATTGGAGTCTTTCATGTCATCACTCTTGGCAGTAGTAACAGATTTTCCCCGCTTCTTTAGTCTATTGGTACACTCGTAATGAGTATGACCAAAGCCTTGATATTCTTTACACTGAATTCTTCTTTTTTTGAGGCGTGTGTCAGCCTTTGAGGAATTCTCATTTACTTTGACCATCTTATCAAAATTTTCAGCAATAACTGCCATTAATTTGATAAGTTCTACTTCAACAGCAGACACCGTTGGGACAATAAGAGTGGAAACAACAGTAGTCGGAACAACATAAGTTGGAACATTGGTTGACTGTAGAGCTAAATTTCTTTCTTTGTCCATTCTACTCATACTCAGTTTGTTCTCAAATGTCTGCAAGTTTCCTATGAGCTCGTCAAGATGGATTTCATCATAATTATTACCCTCTT